AAATAAATCAACTGAAATAAATTCATTTGGCTTAATCTATGGATTTCACATGACTGGGAATACAGATGTGCATCTGTTGGTCACAGATACCTTTTAAAAAAGGTAGGGGTGTGGATCAGAAAACCAGTCAGAACCTGGTGTGACCACCATTTGTCTCATGTAGCGCGACACACTTCGTATGGAATTGAATGGCACGACCATGGGCCTCAGGATCTTGTCACGGTATCGCTGTGTATTAACATTGCCATCGATAAAATGCAATTGTGTTCATTGTCCGTAGTTTATGTCTGCTCATACCATAATCCCACCGCCACCATGGGGCACTCTGTTCACAACTTTGACATCAGCAAACCACTCGCCCACACGACGCCATACACGTGGTCTGCGGTTGTGAGGCCAGTTGGACGTACTGCCAAATTCTCTAAGACGCCGGCTTATGGTAGAAAAATGAACATTCAATTCTCTGGCAACAGCTCTGGTGGACATTCCTGCAGTCAGCATGCCAACTGAACACTCCCTATAAATATTGAGACATCTGTGGCATTGTGTTGTGTGACAAAACTTCACATTTTAGAGTGGCCTTTTATTGTCCCCAGCACAAGGTGCACCTGTGTAATGATCATGCTGTTTAATCAGCTTCTTGATATGCCACACTTGTCAGGTGGATGGATTATCTTGGCAAATAAGAAATGCTCACTAACAGGGATGTAAACAAATTTGTGCACAAAATGTGAGAAAATAAGCTTTTTGTGTGTATGGAACATTCCTAGAGACCAACACTTTACATGTTGTGTTTATATGTTTGTTCAGTATATATTCCAGATCCCAGTCACTTTTCAGCCCTGTTTACAAGTAGAATTCCTTCTGAAAATATTCAGACCCCTTGACTTTTTCCACATTTTGTTACGTTACAGCCTTATTCTACAATGGATTAAATACATACAAATTATCATACCCTTCAATGACAAAACGAAAACAGGTTTTCATTGATCATCCTTGAGATGTTTCTACAACTTGATTGGACATGATTAGGAAAGGCAAACACCTGTCTATATAAGGTCTCACAGTTAACAGAGCAAAAACCAAGACATGAGGTCAAAGGAATTGTCCGTAGAGCTCCGAGACAGGTTTGTGTCGAGGCACAGATCTGGTGAAGGGTTATCATAACATTTCTGCAGCATTGAAGGTCCCCAAGAACACAGTGGCCTCCATCATTCTTAAAAGGAAGAAGTTTGGAACCACCAAGACTCTTCCTAGAGCTGGCAATCGGGGGAGAAGGGCCTTGGTCAGGGAGGTGACCAAGAACCTGATGGTCACTCTGAGATAGCTCCAGAGTTCCTCTGTGGAGATGGGAAAACCTTCCAGAAGGACAACCATCTCTGCAGTGCAGTGCTAAAGAAATCTAAAAACCTGTTTTTGCTTTGTCATTATGGGTTATTGTGTGTAGATTGATGAGGGGGAAATGCACTGTATATCCGCCTATCACGCCTACACTGACACTCTTGCACACTCACACTAACACACACACAGACATACACTCAGTTACACAGGTGCTGTCAGCCGAACGCATCTCTGGGGGCACAGTGCCTGCCTTCCAGGACATCTACAGCACCCGGTGTCACAAGAAGGCCAAGAAGATCATCAAGGACCTCAGCCACCCGAGCCACGGCCTGTTCACCCCGCTACCATCTAGAAGGCTGAGACAGTACAGGTGCATCAAAGCTGGGACCGAGAGACTGAGAAACAGCTTCTACTGTACATAGTAATTGAACACTGGTCACTTTAATAATGTTAACATACTGTTTTACCCACTTTATATGAATAGCCTCCTGAGAGCCTAAATATGTTTTGGATTTTTTTGGGGGTGAAAGTAAATTTGGGGTGAAAATACATGAACGTCAAACTCTAAATAATAATTACATTTAAAAAAAACATTTTTACTCATTTAGCAGACGCTCTTATCCAGAGCGACTTACAGTTAGTGCATACATTATTTTTTATTTTTTCATGCTGGCCCCCTGTGGGAATTGAACCCACAACCCTGGCGTTGCAAACGCCATGCTCTACCAACGGAGCTACATCCCTGCCGGCCATTCCCTCCCCTAGACGACGCTGGGCCAATTCTGCACCGCCCCATGGGTCTCCCGGTCGCGGCCGGCTACGACAGAGCCTGGATTCGAACCAGGATCTCTAGTGGCACAGCTAGCACTGCGATGCAGTGCCTTAGACCACTGCGCCACTCGGGAGACTTACACACACTTATTTTCAAACGTCCATAAAATGTGCTAATTTTGACATTGTTTTAAGAACCAGGAAGATAAGGTTGTCAAGGTCACATGTGATATCATTGAAAAGCCCAGACTATTCTCTCAAAGGGACAACAGGACTTAATACAGTCGCTTGTATGACCTCAGAGATACGGACCAAGAACTGATGTCCACTAGAGAGGACAACAATGAATTTCTGGGTCTCAGGAGGATACTGTATTCTAGTCATGGCTCATCCTGTATAACTACTGCTGTACACACCGTTTCTATTCATATACTGTCCATACACAACATTATACACTGAACAAAAATATAAACACAACATGTAAAGTGTTGGTCTCATGTTTCATGAGCTGAAATAAAAGATCCCAGAAATGTTCCATACTGTCACGATCGAGGTAAGGAGTAGACCAAGGCGCAGCGTGATGAACAAACATACTTTAATTAGTTAAAGCATCAAAATACAAAACAAAACACGACTCGTGACGTCCACGGTATCAATGACCGAACACGGAACAAAAACCCACAACCACAAAGGGAAAACATACAGTTAAATATGGCTCCCAATCAGAGACAACCAGCCAACAGCTGACACTCGTTGCCTCTGATTGGGAGTCACTCAGGCAAACATAGAATACAACAAACTAGAATGAACACCAACACAGAAATACACACATAGAAATGAACACACCCTGGCTCAACATAATGAGTCCCAGAGCCAGGGTGTGACACATACGCACAAAAACCTTAATTATCTCAAATTCTGTGCACAAATTTGTTTACATCCCTGTTAGTGAGCATTTCTCCTTTGTCAAGATAATCCATCCACCTGACAGGTGTGGTATATCAAGAAGCTGATTAAATAGCATGATCATTACACAGGTGCACCTTGTGCTGAGGACAATAAAAGGCCACTCTAAAATGTGCAGTTTTGTCACACAACACAATGTCAAGGTTTCTCAAGTTTTGTGGGAGCGTGCAATTGGCATGCTGACTGCAGGAATGTCCACCAAAGCTGTTGCCAGAGAATTGAATGTTAATTTCTCTACCATAAGCTGCCTCCAAAGTTGTTGTAGAGAATTTAGCAGTACGTCTAACCAGCCTCACGACCGCGTCGTGTGGGCGAGTGGTTTGCTGATATCACCGTTGTGAAAAGAGTGCCGCATAGTGGCGGTGGGGTTATGGTACGGGCAGGCATAAGGCTACGTAAAATGAACACAGTTGAACACCCCTTGACTTTTTCCACATTTTGTTACTTTACAGCCTTATTCAAAAAAATATATTTTTTTTTTCCTCATCAATTTACACACAATACCCCGTAATGACAAAGCACATATTTATTTTCTTTTTTTGATTTGAGCAAATGTATTCCAAATAAAAAAAGGAAATTTCACATTTACATAAGTATTCAGACCCTTTACTAAGTATTTTGTTGATGCACCTTTGGCTGTGATTACAGCTTTGAGTCTTCTTGGGTATGACGCTACAAGCTTGGCACACCTGTATTTGGGGATTTCTCCCATTCTTCGTTGCAGATCCTCTTAAGCTCTGTCAGGTAGGATGGGGAGCGTTGCTGCACAGCTATTTTCAGGTCTCTCCGGAGATGTTTGATCGGGTTCAAGTCCGAGCTCTGGCTGGGCCACTCAAGGACATTCAGAGACTTGTCCTGAAGCCACTCCTGTATTGTCTTGGCTGTGTGCTTAGGGTTGTTGTCCTGTTGGAAGGTGAACCGTCGCCGCAGTCAGAGGTCCTGAGCACTCTGGAGCAGGTTTTCATCAAGGATCTCTCTGTACTTTGCTTCGTTCATCTTTCCCTTGATCCTGACTAGTCTCCCAGTACCTGCCACTGAAAAACATCCCCACAGCATGATGCTGCCACCACCATGCTTCCCCGTAGGGATGGTGCCAGGTTTCCTCCAGACGTGACACTTGGCATTCAGGCCAAAGAGTTCAATCTTGGTTTTACACTCACATGCACAAAACACACACATGCATATTGCTCCACACAGGTTGGAGCGATGCAGCATGTGCCACACTGCCCACCTGCTCATGGTCTGACACACAAACACAGTATGAACTCACAGACACACAGACACACACTCACACATAGGTAGGGTTTATATTATTACCTCATCAGCATAGCAGGTATTTATATGGTAGTGTCTATAATGTTACCTCATCAGCATAGCGTCATGTCTCTCCTCCTCTACTATGAGCAAGCGTGCGGAATGTCATTCACCTATTAACTTCAGCCTTTGAACATGGCACACTAAGGCAATTCCACCATGCTTGCTGCCTATGGGCTCACTCATGCAATAATCACTTTCCTTTCTTTCAACCAATGGGCATAAATCTAGGGTAGTAGTTATATGTCTACGCATAGGGCAACCTGTCATTCAAATCTGGCTCCGAGAACCATTTCTCGTAGACGAGGCTTACCCCCAAACTATTCAATTCAAATTCCCTATTGCATTCTGTCTCTGTTGTGATTCAGTTAAGTCTGTACTCGATTGAACTGCTGATTGTCATGATTGGTATGAATGAAACATTTAAACACAACAATTAGTTTATCTGAGGGACGGTTTGGGGAAGGGAAAGTGGCTGGTCAACTTTTGATGAAAGACATTGATGACAGTGGAATTGAATGGCTAAAGCTTTATTGATTTCTAGATTGAACAATAGATTGAACAATGCATTGTGAAGATTATAAATCATAATTGAATCACATGGCGACCTACTGTTGGCAACCAGATGACAAGAGTGGGAAAAGCAGATGGCCTATGAAAGTGTTGTGGTTGTTGTCACTATCAGCAACCCATGTATTTTTCAGGAGACGCATGTAGACCTGCACTCCCACCTCCAGCTCCAAAGAGATCCCATTGGTGGAAGTCTCATAGCGGGTACCGCTGTCATGGTTGAACACAGTGACCTGCTTGACTCCATTCTTATACAGCTGCAGACCCATTGCTTTGGAGGCATCATTACAACCAGAGAAGCTGAAGTAGTAGACTCCCCTCACTGGTGCTGTGAAGATCCCTGTGGATGAGGGAACACAACAAGTCTGACACCACTACCACCAAGACATAAAGCAACGTAATGTAGTGACAGTGCTCAAAATCCCTCCAAGTCAAAAGATCAACCAATATTTTTAGATTGTCTCTCTGTCTGTATATTTAATGGATACTGTAGCTGTATGCACACTGAAAATAGACCTGTATTTGGATTGTAGGCGGAGCCAGTGTTGGTGAAGATGTTTTTGTAGATCATTGTAATGTCTGTGTTGAAGGGACCAGTGTTTCCAGACACTCCCAAAGAAGCTGCAAACGCCACATATGGCCGCTCTGCAACAACAATAACAAGAATCTTGTATTTCCCAACTACAGTAGCCTATAAATACATTATATTCCATGCTAACAAAATTGTTATCTGTTATGGGACTTCAGTTGAATAACTAATGAATTTAGTGTGCATTCAAATTATTTGTCATTATTAGAATGTTTTATCAAATGTCTGATTTTAGAATTTTCAATGTCCATGCATTTACCTTTATTCTGTTTTCTTAGTTCCTCCATTTGTCTTTCAGTGGTTTTCAGTTGGCCCTGCAGGGCTTGCAGCTGTGTCTGTGTGTGTTTCAGCTCCACTCTCTGCTCCGCCATGGCAGCGCTCATCTCTCTCAGCACAGCATGGACATCAGCATGACAGGTGGTTTCAGTGTTTTTCACAGCACCATCAACCCTGTTCTGTTGAGCCAATGCCCCAGACAGACAGCAGAACAGCAACACCAGCACACCTACAACACTCTTCATTCTTCTGCTGGATGCTTGTAATTCTCTCTCCTTTAGGGTACTTTTCTGACTGTTGATTGGCTGACTGAACTAAAGTCTACTCTCTCCCTGCTCACAACAACAGCCAATATGTTCTATAATTTCTGTGTCCTGGCTATTATACTTGCTTCATCCAGTTTGTTCTTCCTCACAGCAAAGCTGAATAAATGGTTTCTAAATTAGGTACAGCTGAGGGGTTTGTCTTGCTGGGAAAGTTTTTTATTTCTTCCCACTGTTGGTAACTGTGTGGTTTCCCTTCCGTGTAGCTTGAGAGATTCTTCCACTCATCATTTCTATTCATGGTATTTTCAGCCATGTCAGCGAGCTAGATGAGGAAGTCTTTATTGATGCTGTGCATAGTTTTTTAAACAATCATCTGCTCAAAGACATTGGATATGCATATTACAGTGCCTTCAGAAAGTTTTCACACACTTTGACTTTTTCCACATTTGTTGTGTTACAGCCTGAATTTAAAATGGATTAAATAGAGATTTTTGTTCTAATCATTTTGCAGATGCTCTTATCCAGAGCGACTTACAGGAGAAATTAGGTGCCTTGCTCAAGGGCACATCAACGTAACCTTTCAGTTACTGGCCCAATGCTCTTAACCGCTAGGCTACCTGCTGCCCTAAATCTACACTGGAGTTGCTTACCAAGAAGACAGGTAATGTTCCTGAGTGGCCGAGTTACAGTTTTGAATTAAATCTACTTGAAAATCTGGCAAGACCTGAAAATGGTTGTCAAGCAATGACTAATAACCAATTTGACAGAGCTTGAAGAATAAAAAAAAAAAAAATGGACAGGTGTTGCACAATCCAGGTGTGGAAAAGTCTTAGACTTACCCAGAAAGACTCACAGCTGTAATTGCTGCCAAAGGTGTTTCTACAAGGTATTAACTCAGGGGTGTGAATACTTATGTAAATGACATGTTTCTGTATTTCATTTTCAATATATTTGCTAAAATTTCTAAAAACATGTTTTCACTTTGTCATTATGGGGTATTGTGTGTAGATGGGTGAGAAAAAATATATTTTATCCATTTGGAATTCAGGCTATAACACAAGAAAATGTGGAATAAGTCAAGGGGTATGAATACTTTCTGAAGGCACTGTTTATGTAATATTTTCCTAAATTGAATTGTTGTCAGTAGGAGCATTCTCTATGTTGGTATTCATCCACTTTTACCATTAACCTTATATATACCTGTGCCTGCATCTGTAATCATGTCCTGGAAGTGACTACACTACATCAGAACTGGTCTCATATATTCAGTCAACTCAAAGTGACCACAGAAAAGCCAGCAGTCAGAGTAAAAATGTTTTTAATCTTCATACATATTTAGATAAACTTTATTACAATAAAAACACAAGACAATCATGTAAAACAGACCTTTAGACCACTTGTATGTTTCTGTAAAACCGGCTCTGATTCTTTAGCTTCACCTCTTCGTTCGAGTCTAGATCCAATCTACCATCACCACCACCACCATCATCATCCCCTGCATTATCATCAGGTCTCTCCTCCCCTGATCCTCTGCACTCCCTCCCTCTCTCTCTCTCTTGCCCTCCTCTCTTTCCTCCCTCCCTCCTCACACCCATCATCATCATCATCATTACCATCATCACCATTTCCACCATCATCATCATCATACAATCAACACTATCATCACCATCATCAGGTCTCTCCTCCCCCTGCTCTTCTGCCCTCCCTCGCTCTCCTCTCTTTGATCCCTCCCACCTCCTTTTTCCCCCCTCTCCTTCCTCTCAGAAGTCGTCGTCGTCACAGATGTCCAGGTAAACGTCGAAGGCTTCCCGGTTACAGTTGCCATCAGGGGTGAACACGTACTTATGGAAGGTCCCGTCAACACAGATAGCTAGAAAAAGGTGGAATGCAGAAAAAACTTTTACACTGCAATGCGCCAGTGCTTAATCTATTATAAAAGTAGCCGATATTGTATTGTGTATTATTAATTCCGACACTACAATGAATTTCCCAGCTAGGACGATAACTATAATGATTGATAGATATGAGATATTGCTGTGGACTGACCGATGACAGAGTTGACGTTTTTGGAGGTGTTCTTCCCAAATGCACAGATACAGGCACACTCCGCCGGGACAGTGAAACTTGCCAATGACCACTGGCTGTCCACATACTGACCAATCACAGGGCCCACCTTCCCCACGCGAGCCAATCTGGGGAGAGGATAAGAGAGGAGATAGTGGCATGAACAAGCCATTAACAATAAATGGTCAAATTTGGATTTGAGGTACGCACAAACACACTCTCTCACACACACGTTCGTGCATCTTACGCAGAGCGTCTGTTGAGTTTAGTGTCTTTGAGAGCGAAGATGTGAACAGTGCCCTTGTCACTAGAGGCACACAGGAACGAAGAGTCATGACTGAAGTTGATACTGGAAGAGAGAGAGCGAGAGAAGAGATGAGACTCAATTCCATTTCCCCCCTCCCTCCCTCCCTCCCTCCCTCCCTCCCTCCCTCCCAGTACCAGTAGAGTGTAGCAGTGTCCGTTCCTCCCTCCCTCCCTCCCTCCCTCTCCTCCTCTCCCTCCCAGTACCAGTAGAGTGTAGCAGGGTCTGTTCCTCCCTCCCTCCCTCCCCTCCTCTCCCTCCCAGTACCAGTAGAGTGTAGCAGGGTCCGTTCCTCTGCGTAGCTCCACTAGTTTGTCTCTGGTGGTGGTATCAAACAGTCTGATCAGGGTGCCCTTGCGGGAGGCCGAGGCTGCCACGCTGCCAGGCTGGTTGAGTGCCAGGCAGGCGATCTCACTCTGGTGGGCATTGATGGTGAAGGGGGCAGACGACGTGCCAGGTTTAGTGTTGGACAGGTCCTGGAGCGGAGAGAGGGATGCAGAGGGAAGGAGAGAGAGAAGTAGAGGAGGGAGAAGGAGAGAGGGAGAGAGTTAAACACTGACTGGGACCTCATGTAAGGAAGCATTTCACTGTATGGTTTACACCTGTTGTATTCTGTTATGTGACAAATAGACTTTGATTTGGGTAATGTGAAACATGATCAACACACACAGAGCAGGACCAGATTGTTTTTGAAAGAGTTTCTTGTCTCTACAGTTATGATTTCATTTATTTGATAAGGGAGGGCAGAGAGTCTTCAAACACTATGAATCCGTAAGTCAATGCAATGACATGTGAAGGTGATCTTATGAACAGCTTATAAACCAACATAGTTAGTTAGTATAGTACCATGGAATTAACTTTTACATGAAATGGATGAATTACCACAAGCTGCAGACTTCCACATTTATGTCCAGGGAAGACCAGCAGCTGTTTCTCCAGACTGGGGCATAGGTCACACAGTCCTGACAGAGAGAAAGAGAGCGAGAGAGAGGGGATACACACATCTATCAGATAAACATATCCATGCGTGTGTGTTTTGTTTGGTTTTACTATCCTTGTAGGGACCAGAAGTCCTCACAAGGATAGTAAAACAAGGAAAATTTGGACAAGTGGGGACATTTCGCCGGGACCTCACAAGGAAAAAGGCTATTTTAGGCTCAGGATTAGGGGTTTAGGGTTAGGGGTTTAGGTTAGGGTTAAGGGTTAGGGAAAATATAATTTTGTAAAACATAGATGTGTGTGTATGTGTGTGTACCTTTAGGGTTGTCTCTGGTGTCAAACTCAAACCGTTTCACAGGGTTGTCAGGGAAACTGTAGACATAGATTCTGTTCTTTAACACAATGATGATCCTAAGAGAGAGAGAGAGAAAGAGAGAGAGAGAGCGAGGAGGGAGAGAGAGAGAGAGAGAGAGAGAGAGAGAGAGAGAGAGAGAGAGAGAGAGAGAGAGAGAGAGAGAGAGAGAGAGGAGAGAGAGGAGAGGGTGGAGAGAGAGAAATCAGAGGGAGAGAAGGGTTAGTAAAACATCTATAAACAACACACTGTAGGGAGCTCTATGTGCAGTTGGGGTTTGTTCAGGAGAATGTTCAGAACGTTCAGATAGTCACTCACTTGTCGTGTCTCATGCGTACGGCCAGAACAGGCTTGGTGAAGGTAAACTCCAGCACCAGCTTGTCCTTGGGGTCCCTTCCCTCCCGAGCATCATCCCAGACCAACACTAGGATTAATAACTATACATCAGTTTGTGAATTAAATTAAAACAATACATGATGAGAATCATTATCACATTTCTATATCAATATGAACCATTTATATAAATATGAAATACAATCAGTTCAAGTCACCTATTTTCTCTTGAAAATCACTTGGATTGTGAGCAGGTGGCACTGCCACAATTGACTCAGCAATATGACATTGCCACGAGCAGCACCACAGACATTGAGATGAGAGTGATGCAAGACTTTGCTATCACACAGTCATACACATGCACATGTGAATGAGTGTGCTTCACGCTGCTACAATGTGATAGCTAAGGGACCAAAACTGGGGTGTATTCACGTCTTGCAATGGAAACTGATTAAGAAGCAAACAGGGGCATATTCATTACGCCGATTCTATTGCGAAACGTTTCTTAAACGTAAGCAAACGAAACAGGGAGGGACCTACCTGAATTTGTCCAATAGAAACTAGTTTTGCTCCATTTTCTTCCGTTTGGTTCTTAAACAGTAAACGTTTTTCTTAATGCATACACTCCAGAGCAAACGGAACGGAACGGGGAGGGACCTACCTGACTTTGTCCAATAGAAACTCTTGTTTTCGTTGCAAAAAGTTCTTACGTTTGATGTAAACGGTTTCTGTTGCAAAACGTTTTCCAACAGAATCAGAGTAATGAATACACCCCAGCTTTAAGTTTAGCCCCTCTCTTCAACTGACTCTACCTTTAAAGTCTATTCAGTAATTTTAAAAATATGTGGTCCGCTCACCAGAGATCTCAGAGAACTTGGGGTTGACTCCTCCTCCTACTACAGCCAGCAGGTTGGAGCGATGCAGCATGGAACACTGGGCCACACTGCCCACCTGCTCATGGTCTGATACACACAAACACTAAAACAGACGGCTGATACCACAGGTCTGAAATACATTTACATCTTAGTAATTTAGCAGATGCTCTAATCCAGAGCGATTCACAGTAAGTAGTCAGTGCATACATTTTCATACTGGTCCCCCGTGGGAATCAAACCCACAACCCTGGCGTTGCAAGCGCCATGCTCTACCAACTGAGCCACACGGAATTCCACTCACCAAGGTGTCCCTTCTCCATAAGAGGCTCCACATTGTATATCCTAACACCTGTCTCCATGGCACAACAGAAACAACCTGAGGTAGAGACCGATAGAGTGGGAAGGGGGTAAACTGTTAAATTGACACTGTTTGAAACAAGACTGATAAAAGTTATGTCCTCTCCTACAGATTTCTGTCTGGCTTCACAGAGAATTAGTGTCTTACTCTGGTCCTGGTTGAACTGCAGACTGTTGACTCCTCTCGGTTGGGCCATGTTGGAGGAGTGACGTAAGGCAGATGTTATCAGCTAGTTAGCTACAGATCTGAAGAAAACACAGGCTTGGTTCTGCCTTATGAACAGGGCGAGGCATTATGATTGACACAAAAGAAAAGAGAAAGAAAACAAAAGACAACGGTTTACAAGGGACACCACAATCTAAGTGGTTTTCAAGAGAAAATAGGTTAGCTTGCCTGGTAAACAAACGCCAGGCAGTGACTCAAGCTACCGACGATTAGATAGCTAATGTTGCTATCAAGTTACAGTATCCAGCATAGCTAGCTAGTGTAGCTATAATGTACTGCTGCAGTTATCGTAACAGCTGTATCATATTCCTGGAACCGCATGAATTGTTTCAAAGCTTACCATGAAGCGACAGAAAACGAGTTGGGTTAAAAGAGTAATCGGTCTTGACACGGCAAAAATATCTCAACAACAAGGCTAGAAAGCTAGCTACACAGTGACGAAATATTTTGTTGTTGTTATTTTTCCTGCAGATGACGTCGGCGCGTGTTTCTGCTTTCTGACTTCTTCTTCGGTACCTCCAGACCACAAACAAGTCATGCCGCCATCTAGCGTGCTGAAGTAAAATCCAACTATGGAAATATGGTTACAAAGCCAAATTTGGTGTGTGTGTGTGTGTGTGTGTGTGTGTGTGTGTGTGTGTGTGTGTGTGTGTGTGTGTGTGTGTGTGTGTGTGTCAGCATAGCCACGGGAAGTAGGGGTGCTGAAGATGCCCCTGAAGAATCTGAAGAAGAAAAAATATATATATATATACAGTACCAGTCTAAAGTTTGGACACACCTACTCATTCCAGGGTTTTTCTTTATTTTTACTATTTTCTACATTGTAGAATAATAGTGAAGACATGAAAACTATGAAATAACACATATGGAATCATGTAGTAATCATGTAGTAAGTGTTAAACAAATCAAAATATATTTTAAATTTGAGATTCTTCAAAGTAGATAGCCTTTGCCTTGATGACAGCTTTGCACACCCTTGGCATTCTCTCAACCAGCTTCATGAGGTAGTCACCTGGAATGCATTTCAATGAACGGGTGTGCCTTGTTAAAAGCTAATGTGTTTGAGCCAATCAGTTGTGTGGTGACAAGGAAGGGGTGGTATACAGAAGATATCCCTATTTGGTAAAATATCCAAGTCCATATTATGGCAAGAACAGCTGAAATAAGCAAAGAGAAATGACAGTCCATCATTACTTTAAGAAATGAAGGTCAGTCAAAACGGAACATTTCAAGAACTTTGAAAGTTTCTTCAAGTGCAGTCGCAAAAACCATCAAGTGCTATGATGAAACTGGCTCTCATGAGGACCGCAACAGGAAAGGAAGACCCAGAGTTACCTCTGCTGCAGAGGATAAGTTCATTAGAGTTAACTGCACCTCAGATTGCAGCCCAACTAAATGCTTCACAGAGTTCAAGTAACAGACACATCTCAACATCAACTGTTCAGAGGAGACTGCGTGAATCAGGCCTTCATGGTCGAATTACTGAAAGGAAACCACTACTAAAGGACACCAATAATAAGAAGAGATTTGCTTGGGCCAAGAAACACGAGCAATGGACATTAGACCGGTGGAATACTGTCCTTTGGTCTGATGAGTCCAAATTTGAGATTTTTGGTTCCAACCGCCATGTCTTTGTGAGTTGCAGAGTAGGTGAACGGATGAGCTCTGTATGTGTGGTTCCCACCGTGAAGCATGGAGGAGGAGGTGTGATGATGTGGGGGTGCTTTGCTGGTGACACTGTCTGTGATTTATTTAGAGGTGACACTGTCTGTGATTTATTTAGAATTCAAGGCACACTTAACCAGCATGGCTACCACAGCATTCTGTAGCGATAAACTATCCCATCTGGTTTGCGCTTAGTGGGACTATCATTTGTTTTTCAACAGGACATTGACCCAAAACACACCTCCAGGCTGTGTAAGGGCTGCTTGACCAAGGAGAGGGATGGAGTGCTGCATCAGATTACCTGGCCTCCATAATCACCCGACCTCAACCCAATTGAGATGGTTTGGGATGAGTTGGACCGCAGAGTGAAGGAAAAGCAGCCAACAAGTGCTCAGCATATATGGGAACTCCTTCAAGACTGTTGGAAAAGCATTCCTCACTAAGCTGGTTGAGAGAATGCCAAGATTGTGTAAAGCTGTCATCAAGGCAAAGGGTGGCTATTTGAAGAATCTAAAATATATTTGGATTTGTTTAAAACTTTTTTGGTTACTACATTATTTCATGTGTGTTATTTCATAGTTGTGATGTCTTCACTATTATTTTAAAATGTAGAAAATAGTAAAAATAAAGAAAAACCCTTGAATGAGTAGGTATGTCCAAACGTTTGACTGGTACTGTATATATATATTCATCTAAAAATTGTTTGGTTGTTTTTCACAAAAGTAGTGCACTGGGCCTTTACTAGTCCTGTAGCCTATTAGCAGACAGATATAGCCTTCTGTAGCACAGCCTAAACAGTTTTTACAGCGCCGCAATATATCTCAGTTTATTGCATAAATCGTACATGCATTGGATTGCAATGCTGGTGCCGTAAAATAACATTCTCTGTGTGAAAGGACTTGTCCATTGTGCTGTTATTCAAGGTCCTTTATTACCTTGTTGGTAATGAGTGCGGGATGGTTGCATTTTGGCTTCTGGTCAAATGGATGAATCTAGCGGGGAACACATGCAAGATACAGACACCACGCCTGCAGACCTACCACAGATCTTACTTGCAGTGGTGTATTGCAATTTATAAATTTTTTGTGAGGGAGCGCAAAAAATATATGTAAATGATTGAATTTAATTGATATTGGGTAACAGATATGTACAGCAAAATGTACAATGTGGACTCAGAGAATATCACTTAAAAGTATTAATTAAAACGCTTGTTTCCAAAGTGGTCCTCGATGGTAACAACAATAACACATATAATGATTAAAAGGCAAGACAAAATGACAAACAACCATAAATACATTCATTTATATTTGTCACGCCCTGGCTCTGGGGACTCTAGTATGTTGAGCCAGGGTGTGAGTTTTCATTTGTTTTTGTGTTCGGTCTAGTTTTGTATTTCTATGTTGGCCAGTGTGGTTCTCAATCAGAGGCAACGTGTATCAGCTGTTGCTTGTTGTCTCTGATTGGGAACAATACTTAAGCAGCCAGTTTTCCCACAGTGTTTGTGGGATCTTGTTCCTTTAGGTTTGTGTCTGAACCGAGGACGTCACGTTATCGTTTTGTTCGTGTTATTACTTTAATAAAAAGATATGTTCACCTTCCACGCTGCGCCTTGGTCCTCCTTCAGCGATCGTGACAATATTGACATCCTAGAAAGTGGCACTATTCACTGCACTTTTCCCTAACCTTAAAAATTAACCATATTAATTTCACATCGACCTTAAAAAAGCGATCTATTCATTGCACATCATACCTTTCATTCAAATAAATACACCTAACCAGTAGCAGGGGGCACAAGGGGCAGTGGAGTGCTTTCTCTGACTTCGATAACATTGTCCAAATGAAAACCTTTGCCTGCTTTTTAAAGCTATTTCTACTTTTTCTTTGCTTGATCTCCAAGGGGAGGCTATTCCATAGACAAATCCCTGTATAGAAAAACGTACTCCTCGCAGTACTGTTTACTCTTGGGATTTTGCAAGACATAACACTAGCTCTGGTATTGTAACTGTGCTGGTTATAGACCATATCAATGTGGTTTTTCATATAACCTGGGGCACGATCATTTAAGATGTCAAACATATGATTAAGTTTAAGTTGGTCCACTCTGGACTCCAAAGGCAACAAGCCCACCTCCCGGAACTCCTGTACCCCTATATGGGTCCTAGTGGGGACATTAAGCATATACCTGATAACATTATTTTGCATGACCTGCATTCTCTTTTTCAGCTTTCTTGATAGCCCACTATACCAAGCAGAGCATGCATAATCAAAATGACACTGAATCAAGGTTGAGACAAGCAGTTTCTTAATTTTTATGTTAAAATATCTAGTGTTACGATATGCAAAGTTCAATTTGTTCGCCATTTTAGAAATAATTTAAGCAGCAATCAGATCTCCAGAAAGGGATTGATCTAGGTACACACCAATATAAGTTACACTTGTTTTAGATTCAATCTCCTTGCCTGCACAGTTTACCTTTATTCTGTCAGCCCTAAGCAAACTACGTTTTGTTCCAAACAAAATTGATTATGTTTTCCCAAATGTAGCGACAATTTGTTGTCAGTCAACCAATCTCTAACAAAATGCAATTCCTTACTCAGGGTCTCCTCTATGTAAACTAAATCCTTCCCTGATACCAGTATGGCTGAGTCTTCAGCATAAAGCAGGAGTTTGCACTTTACTGTATCTGGCATATCATTGATGTGAATACGAAATAAGATAGGCCCCAAAATTGATCCCTGCGGTACTCCACAGGATATTTCTTTGGCCTCTGACAGAACATCACCAACATTACATACAGTTGAAGTCGGAAGTTTACATACACTTTTTTCAACCACTCCACAAATTTCTTGTTAACAAACTATAGTTTTGGCAAGTCGGTTAGGGCATCTACTTTGTGCATGACACAAGTAATTTTTCCAACAACTGTTTACAGACAGATTATTTCACTTATAATTCACTGTATCACAATTCCAGTGGGTCAGAAGTTTACATACACTAAGTCGACTGTGCATTTAAACAGCTTGGAAAATTCCAGAAAATGATATCATGGCTTTAGAAGCTCCTGATAGGCTAATTGACATAATTTAAGTCAATTGGAGATGTACCTGTGGATGTCTTTCAAGGCCTATCTTCAAACTCAGTGCCTCTTTGCTTGACATCATGGGAAAATCAAAAGAAATCAGCCAAGACCTCAGAAAAGAATCGTAGACCTCCACAAGTCTGGTTCATCCTTGGGAGCAATTTCCAAATGCCTGAAGGTACCACGTTCATCTGTACAAACAATAGTACGCAAGTATAAACACCATGGGACCACGCAGCCGTCATACCGCTCAGGAAGGAGACGCGTTCTGTCTCATAGAGATTTGGTGCGAAAAGTGCAAATCAATCCCAGAACAACAGCAAAGGACCTTGTGAAGATGCTGGAGGAAACAGGTACAAAAGTATCTATAGCCACAGTAAAACGAGTCCTATATCGACATAACCTGAAAGGCTGCTCAGCAAGGAAGACGCCACTGCTCCAAAACTGTCATAAAAAAAGCCAGACTATGGTCTGCAACTGCACATGGGGACAAAGATCGTACTTTTTGGAGAAATATCCTCTGGTCTGATGAAACAAAAATAGAACTGTTTGGCCATAATGACCATCGTTATGTTTGGAGGAAAAAGGGGGTTGCTTGCAAGCCGAAGAACACCATCCCAACCGTGGAGCACGGGGGTGGCAGCATCATGCTGTGGGGGTGCTTTGCTGCAGAAGGGACTGGTGCACTTCACAAAATAGATGGCATCATGAGGAAGGAAATGTATGTGGATATATTGAAGCAACATCTCAAGACATCAGTCAGGAAGTTAAAGCTTGGTC